ATCACCTAAGTTTCCAGAGGTCTCTGCAACTTCCCTAGCTAGTGGATCAAGGTCAGCCCGAGTCAGGCTAGCCAATCCTCCACGATTAAGCTGACCACCAGAGGAACTACCCAATTAAATGGTAACACAACTGGAAAGCCCCCCCAAACTCCTCCTCCCTTTGTGTAAAAGCATAAAAAGCATCTGCTTAAGGAAATCAGAGCCTCTGAATGTACTCCGCTGTGTCGGTTGTCGACAGAGGCCCAGCTCGAGCTTGTAAATAAAGACCCTCTTGAACTTTCATCGGAATTGGCTCTTGGTGGTCTCTCGGATTGAACTTTCGGCCACTACAATTGAGAGGACAGAAAAGTTCCCATAAAAAAAACTGTATGCAATTTCTTTTCTTTTCAAGTCAGAGTTGCACTCTGTCACCTAGGCTGCAGTGCATGACATGCTCACTGCCATCGCAGTCTTGACCTGTTGTGCTCAGGCGATCCTTCCGCCTCAGCCTTCCAAGTAGCTGGAATTACAGTGTGTGCCACTACACCCAGTTAATTTTTTTTTTTTGAGTCGGAGTCTCGACCTGCTGGGCTCCGGCGATCCTTCCACCTCAGCCTTCCAAGTAGGTGGAACTACAGGTGCGTGCTACCACGCCTGGCTAATTTTTTTTTAATTTTTTTTTTGAGTTGGAGTCTCACTCTGTCCCCCAGACTGGAGTGCAGTGGCCGCTTCCGGCCGCTTCCGGCCACCGCAGCCTCGACCTGCTGGGCTCCGGCGATCCTTCCTCCTCAGCCTTCCGAGTAGCTAGAACTACAAGTGTGTGCTACCACTCCCGGCTAATTTTTTGATTTATTGTAGAGATGAGGTCTCGCTGCCCCAGGTGGGTCTCGAACCCGCGGGCTCAGGCAATCCACTCACCTCAGCCTCCCAAAGGTGCAGAATTACAGGCTAAGCCACCGAGCCCGGCTCAGGCAATCTACTCAGTTTCCCAAAGTGCTGGGATTACAGGCTGAGCCATTGAACCCGGCTTCACCCAGTTAATTTTTTTTTTTTTTGAGTTGGAGTCTCACTCTGTCACTCAGACTGGAGTGCAGTGGCCGCTCCCAGCCACCGCAGCCTCAACCTGCTGGGCTCTGGCGATCCTTCCGCCTCAGCCTTCCAGGTAGCTGGAACTACAGGCGCGCACTACCATGCCTGGCTAATTTTTGATTTATGTAGAGATGAGGTCTCGCCAAGTAGCCCAGGCTGGTCATGAACCCGTGGGCTCAGGCAATCCACTCACCTCAGCCTCCCAAAGGTGCGGGATTACAGGCTGAGCCACTGAGCCCGGCTCACCCAGTTAATTTTTAAATTTTATTGTAGAGAAAAGGTCTCAGCATGTTGCCCAGGCTGGTCTCAAACCCAGGCAATCCTCTCGCCTCTGCCTCCCAAAGTGCTGCGATTACAGGTATGAGCCACCATACTCATCCTAACCACATACAATTTCTTTCTTTCTTTCTTTTTTTTTTGTGAGTTAGAGTCTCACTCTGTCACCCAGGTTGGAGTGCAATGGTGCACTCACGGCCACTCCAGCATTGACCTGCTGGGCTCCAGTGATCCTTCCTCCTCAGCCTTCCAAGTAGTTGGAACTACAGGCATGCGCTATTACACCGGGCTAATTTTTAATTTTATTGTAGCGATGAGGTCTCACCAAGGTGCTTGGGTTGGACTCAAACCAAAATGCTAGGATTACAGGTTGAGGCAACAAGCCCAAGCTCTATTGTATGCAATTTCTAAAGGATCGCAAACTGTTTTTTTTTAGTTGGGGTCTCACTCTCTTGCCCAGGCTGGAATGCAGTAGACCAATCACTTCTCTGCAGCCCCAACTTCCTGGGTTTATGTTATCCTCCTGCCTCAGCCTCCTAGGTAGCTAGGACTATAGTAAGTGCAAGACACCATGCCTGGGTAATTTTTAAACATTTTTTTTTTGTAGGGATGAGGTCCTGCCATGTTCCTCAGGCTGGTCTTCAACTCCTGGGTTCAAGCAATCCTCCCATCTTGGCTTCCCACTAAAGTATTGAGATCTACAGGCATAGGTCACCATGTCTGGCCAGGATCTGACATATTTAATGTAAAATACTTCTCTTAAAATATCTCAACGAAGCCGGGCTCGGTGGCTCAGCCTGTAATCCCACACCTTTGGGAGGCTGAGGTGAGTGGATTGTCTGAGCCCGCGGGTTTGAGACCCGCCTGGGCAACTTGGCGAGACATCTCCACAATAAACCAAAAATTAGCCGGGCGTGGTAGCGCGCACCTGTAGTTCCAGCTACTTGGAAGGCTGAGGCGGAAGGATCGCTGGAGCCCAGCAGGTCGAGGCTG